TAGATTAGTAAAGAATGCCTCTGGACATATATACGGTAATTTTCAGGTCATAAAGGCTCTGACACAGTGAATAGTGGATTCAAAATCTGAACAGACTATTGGGAGGTAAGAGAACTGTGGAAAATGCAGCCAGGTTATTAGGGCATACCCTTGGGCACTATACACCCTCTAGCCAGTCTATATGTTCTGCTTTGTGGATGTCATGAACAGCTCTGTTCCATCATGATGGAATAAAACCATGAACTAAGATAAAATAAAAATAAATCTTTCCTCGCTTTAAAAGTTGGTTTTCAGGTGTTTTGATACAATCATGACAAAATTGACTAATACATCTCCCATGCCACTACTTACTGGTGTGAACTCTGTCTAAGAAATGTTGAAGTCCCATGAACCCTGGGGGTGGGTTCTGAACTCACTGTAGTCCTACCAATCTAATTTTCTATTTGCATGTTGGTACTGTTTTGATTCAAGTTGCTTTATAATATATTTTAGTATAAGAAGAGCTTCCTTCATAACTTCTCAAATTTTTTTTATATTTTATTTTTTGTTGTTGTTGGTCATGGGGCCTGAACTCTGGGCCTGGGCTCTTCTGATCAAGGCCAGAGCCCTACCACAGGAGCTAGAGTGCCACTTCCAGTTTTTTCTACTTATGTGGTTGCTGAGGAATCAAACCCAAGGCCTCATGCATGCGAGGCAAGCACTCTACCACTGAACCAACTTCCTAGCCCTACTTCTCAATTTTTTAATAATTCATTCATATTTATTCTTCCATGTGAAGTTCCATGAAAAACTTCTAAGATTCAAAAATCTCAATGAAAAAAGAAATCTCAACAATATTATTATTAGAATTCACATCTTTATGTTCTAAGAACAGAGAGTATTTACTTATTTATTCTATATACGATTTTTCTTACTGTTTCATGTAGACAGGTATATTTCTTTTGTCAATTCTACTGGACATATAATTTGTACTTCACAAATCTCTGTTATGCATGTGATATCTTTTATTTCGTTCTGCAATAGAAATTTGTTCATAGGTGTTTTATTCCTTTGTGAACCAACCATCTGAGCAGTATGTATTTGGACACAATCCTCATTGTCAGTGTCAAAACAAAATCAGGGCCCGCCTCCTCTTATGGAAGCTAAAGGAGGCCTGATCTGGCCTGGGCTGCTCAGCAAACTGGTATACCCAGGATTTGAATTGTGAAGAGATAAAGGAAACAAGCAGAACGCTAGAATCATTTACAAGGAGTTTAAAATCCAGCTGTTGTCCACAGTGTCAGGAACTCTACCAACCCTCATCCTGTGGTTTGTCTAAGACTGTGTGCTCCGTTTTTTAAATTATCTTGGCCCCCTACTGGTTTGAAAATCTGATTATATAAATTTCCCATCGATTTTGTATAATATCTAATAATGTTTCAACAAATTCCATTCTTGGTTCAGTTATCAGGACTCATTTCCACTAGTTGTAATCACAAACTCTAATGAACACACGATCTTTTGAAAAAGTATGTTTTATGTCATTCTATTTGATTATTCTACTCTTTTAAACATTTTTCCTTTATTATACAAAGGGTTTTTTTTTCAGTGATATTTGCATACACGCATATATTGTCTCTGGGTCAAATCCATGCTATCTATAGCACTGTTTCCTAACTTTCCTCTCTGTCCATTCTCCTCAGTAAGTTTTTAGTGGGTTTCATAGATATATAAAAGCTATTTTATCATAATTATTCCCACAGGCCTCCTCATCATCCTCTCCTTCCCCTTTATTTCCTCCCTCTGGGCCCCTCTCAATCAATAGTCCCTTTTTACAATCATGTCACATTATTTTCTTAAGTTTAGATTTTACATATGAGTGAAAACACAGTATTTGTCTTTCCAAACTTGGCTTATCTCACTTAATATGATAATCTCCAATGCTACCTATTTTTCTATAAATACTTCAGTCTTCTTTTGGCTGAAAAATATTCCATGTATATTGTACTTGCTATAATTTGATCTTTGAATAATACAGAAACTTCTAAATATACATAACTAGAATACAACTAAGTAAATGAAATGTATTTTCTTTAAATATTAGAAGTCCAAAACAAATCAATTTCTGACTCACTTTAAACAAAAAAAGCATTCCTTTTTATTTCTTGCCTACTCAAATTTCCAAATCTCTACTATTTTAGTATAGGTATATAAATGTTATTTATTTTAAGAGTGTTCCTTGACCATGTAAGCTTTCTTTTTCAACAATAGTCTTCAGTTTATGGTTTTGATCTTGTGCAAAAATGTGCCATTTACATATATATATACACATATACATGTATATACACACAAACACACAAAACATACACACATTTAACAATATGTATGGTCATCACAGTTTTTTAAGCTACCTATAACTTTATTGTTAAGTTACAATTTTAACTTATGTCTGAGAGTTCATCCTTGAATATTTTTCTTAGAATTAAAAACACTAGTCTTATTTCTTGTTTGTAAATGTACACAGTTACAAATGTATACCCTGTTGCTGCCTATGCTAGGTATAGAAACCTATAGTTCTAATTCCTTTATTCAACACTGCTGACTTTACTGTCTTTGGATGTTTAATATTCAGTAAATGCTGTTGTACCGGAGTTTTGCTTCCTTTATATATCTAAATTGAGGTTAATTATATTTTAAAAAATAGTATTGATCTGAATACAACAAACGTATTTTTTTCCTCTTATAAATGAGGCAGCCCATCCAGAAATCAAAAAGAATTTAGATGTTATCAAAGAGTTTAGGATATAGCATCTATTCTCAAGGTCATCTCAGATAATTTCCAGGTGTCAATCCATGTTCCAGAGCTAAGAGACAAATGAAGAGCAAAAGAGGGAACATAGCAGTTTGGTTGGCACCTTTGTCGCTAAGTCTTCATTCAATTATTTCTAAGTACAAGTTCCAATAATAATAGTTCCTCTAACCACATAAAACAGTGGAAAGTGAAGCCTTTTAGTTGAGCATTGTTTTAGTGTAATACTTTCGAAAATCAATCAGATTAATCACTATATTTTTCATTTTCATATTTATCACCTTTATCACCTGTCTTCTTCCTTCCTATGATGAGTCCATTTTCTACCCATATAGTTAATTCTTCTCTATAATCTTTTAAATCAAGATGTAAATTTTCTTATTTGTAATGTATTTTAATGTATTTTTAATGTATTTGTATTTAATGTATTTCTATCAGCATCTCTCTGTATACCATTCTTATAGCCCCACATTGCTGTTTTACACAACTAAGTTTGCTGCATAAAACTACAAAAATACAATGATGTGTGACAATAAGCACATACAGCAATGGCATCTGAACCAGGCTGTGCAGGTCTAACGGTTTGCGAATGGTTCCACATATCTCTCCTCCTCTTCCACTGTCATTGTCATGCATGAGAAAGCACACCTAGCAGTACAAGCAGGTTTCAAGCTTATGCTTAAGGTCTTAATGATCCACAAAAGCAAAAGCTCCAAAAGCAAAGGTAGGAAATAGACTTCTTTCAATACAAAGAAGAAGGAAGGTGAGATTATTTGGAACAATCATCTGATGCACAACAACAGGTTTCTTGAATCATTTGAGAAACCTTAAGCTTAGTCTGTAAGTCCTTGTTTTCTTAATTAAAAAATTCAAATAAATCTTCTTCTGAGATCTGAAGGAAATGGTCATTTTCTATAGAAATTCACATAAGTCATAATGATTCTGTTTTATTGTTTACACACAGATTACTTTGTACTCTGCTGCAAGAGTTACTGACAGAATAACACTATTTAGATATAATCTTCAAGTTACATATTCACCTGCCCTATTCAGATCTAATTTTGAAGTTAAGTCTCAGGTACATACATAGTCCCTAGCACAATTTGTGTGCCTAGTCCAATTTTTCTAATGAGCATCTACTGAAAAGAGATAGAAATTTCTCTCTTTTGTCAGGGTATCTGACTAAACTGAAGTATCACACATGAAGTTGGCAATTTTTGTTGAAATAAAATAGGACTTGAAAAGACTTCATTCCCAGCATACACTGCTTCCAGTGATTTTCTGATACACGGCTGGATGAAAAGGCACACACATGTGTATTTCAGTAGATAATGCTTAAAATCCCCTCTGAAAAAAAATAGAATGTTTACTTAAAGAAATTCTGGAAGAACATATATCAGCTATCTGATATATACATATATATATTAATGCCAATGAACAAATCTTAAGATCCAGTCATTCCCACAGGTCTACACTAACCTAATCAATTTTTTTGTACTCATCTAGATCCTTAAGTATTAAGGTATTGATGCTACAAGCAGCCATGGAGTCAAAGAAGAGTGTTCTCTCTAAACCTCTCCTCAACTATTTCTTAAGAATTATTGCTTAAAGCTGAACTTAGCCCTAAGTAACAAACAATCTTACAATTTTAGCTCATATTTATCTGTGGTTTTAAGTTGGCTAACTTACTGTCTAATTTAAACTTTTTTTTTTCACATTCTCTGAGATATACAAGAGTATCTCTAACCCAGAATGTAAGAGGCCCATAGGAACTGGTTCTTATAGGTCCTCACAATAAATGAGCAATGAATACATAAGCAATCCCTGATGCCAGCCTTAGAACATGGAGTACTTGCTATTATAAAACCATCTTCAGCCGGGCGCTGGTGGCTCACACCTGTAAATCTAGCTACTCAGGAGGCTGAGATCTGAGGATAACAGTTCAAAGCCAGCCCGGGCAGGAAAGCCCGTGAGACTCTTATCTCCAATAAACCACTAGAAAATTGTAAGTGGCACTGTGGCTCAAGCGGTAGAGCCCTCACCCTGAGCTGAAGAGCTGAGGGATAGCGTCCAAGCCCAGAGTTCAAGCCCCACGACCCCCCCCAAAAAAAAAATCATCAAGTTTCAGACATTACATTTAAAAGACACACACACACACACACACACACACACAATAAATCAAACAGCCACTAGTAAAAAGGCTCTGACCAACCTCATTTTCCCTTTTTCCTTGTTCCGCTGCACAACTCGGCTAGTGGATTTGATGTACAGATGTCGGTGCAGTTCATCTATGAGAACCAAGTGCAGGTTCATCTTCTTGCTGTGAAGCTCAAGCCTAAGATCACTCAGTCCTTCTACTTGGAGCAGGGGGCCCTCCAAAGACTCTACTGCTGACACCTGACAAGGAGGGGAAAAAGAGCCAATCAAATCACAAGTAAATAACCTACAATATTATAAGTAAGAAAGACATGATCAAAGTATATCATATATATGTGCAAAACTGTCATGAAGAAGCCCACTGTTTTGTACAATAGAAAAGAAGAAAGACCACTTTTAAGATACTACCAGAGAGTTTCTCAGAATGTCAGTATACATCAGACTTTATTCAGTACCATGTATATAGACCTAGTCTTGTCCTTACAGGATTTTCCATGTAAAATAGATAAAGCAAAGAAAAAAACTCTACAAACAGATAAACACAAAGTCATGTAAAACACCATAAAAGGGCTACAAATTCCATGTACACACACGCACTGCTTGTCAAAAGACACTTGAAAATTGACTTCCCCAATTAAATATGTCACTCCTATTATTTCAAGAATCCTATATTCTAATGGTTTAAATCAACTTTTAATCAAAATTAGCCTTTTAAACCTAAGCCTAAATTAGGACACATTGTATGAATGGTTTAATAGCTAATTCTCCTGGTGACCAAAAAAGAGCTTGGTGTAAGCCTATTTTTCTACATAGAACTAGGCTCCCACTTTTTCTCATGTACAATACATACAGAGTAGAATGACTTTTTTTGTACCTTGATACTATAGGTTGAAAATAGCAATCATCACCTCTTCCTGGCCTAATGTGATAGAAGAAATGGGATTTGAATGGTAATAGAAGAAAGACTACAGATAGAGACACTCCTGGTGTGAAGTGGCTTAATAGATTTTTTTAAAAGAAAAATGTTGGATGAATCAAATTGGTATAGAATGTCTACAATAAAGGGAAAAATGAAACATTCTAGGAGCCTAAAGTCACTAATTTTAGATTTAAAATATTACTACAAAAAGGAAAGAAACATGTATGGTATAATCTCATTTATTCAGGTGTATGAAACTATGTCTCTGTGTATGTATATATATATATATATATATATATGTATATGTATAGATAGATCTTTTATATCTTTTAAAGGAAAGGTAAAATGCATACTCTAGGTACTATTACTTGAGACGGAAAAAACAAGGAGAATAGCATAAAGAACTTCAAAAGAAAAAGCATGAAGTATAATAGACTCCATGGATAGTTCACAAATAGTATAACTCTTTAGAAAGACTAAATCAATGAAACAAAATAAATACCAAGAAATGGGTAATTGCAAGAGGGGAGTGTGTGGCCAAGGAAAGAGGAGAGGAAAAATGAAGGGGGAAGTAAAGAGAATGTAGGCAAGTCTTCATTGTTTGTACCACAAAATTAAGAAAAAATAAGGGAAGAGGTAGGTGAAGCGGGGGAGAGGGGGCAGGGTAAAATGTATAAAAAAAAAAGATCACAGATCAAGATGCATTGTATAAACAACTATGTTAAATGGCAAAAAATTGATAAATATCATACAAAATTAAGAAAAGTGAGGGAAGGGGTGGGTTGGAAGGGGTGGTTGAAAATGTTGAAACGGATGACATTAATCAAGATGCACTGTATCCATAAACTGAATTGTTGAGTGGCAACTCCTTTGTACAACAACTTAAAGATAATAAAAGTAGCCAGGTGCAGGTAGCTCACACCTGTAATCCTAGCTATTCAGAAGGCTGAGATCTGAGGAGCGCAGTTCATAACCAGCCCAGGCAGGAAAGTCCGTGAGACTCTTAGCTCCAATTAACCACCCAAAAACCAGAAGTGCTGTTGTGGCTCAAATGGTAGAGCGCTCGCTTTGAGCTGAAGAGCTCAGGGACAGTGCCCAAGACCAGAGTTTAACCCCCACTACTGACCAAAAAAAATAATAAGAATAATGAAAGTATTTTTTTAAGCATTAAGAAGAAAGCAGAAGAGGTGATAAATAGCCAAGTTTAGAAAGAAAATCACCTCCCTAAGAAACTTTTGACCTCTTGCTATTCCCTACTCAGGTTATGCTTCTAAATACTTCTAAAAGGTAATGTAAGAGGCAACTTAAAATATGCTTTAACTGGGCACTTGTTCCTTCACCCCTATCCTTTTTATCTGTGCTTTATGATCAAAGCTATTCCCTGCTGCAGTCACTTTATCATCACTGTGGTCTCCAGAAAAAGTGGGATTCACCAATAAGTACCTTCAAACATGCACTGACATATTCTTACCATCTTACAGAAAACAACCAAAAGCTCAGGAGATCACCCACCAGGCAACTTATGCCTGCTCTGCCCTAATAATAAAATTATAACAACTTCTCTAGAACACCTCAAGAGACAACGACTGAGCTAATGGTCAATCAGGCCAGACATATGACTTATGGCTGTTTTAACTAATCATATCTTTCTTACCACCTACCCACAATTCCATTTACCCTGAGCCAATGCCTGTACCCCTGAAAATGGCTGAAGATGTACTGAAGTGCTGTTTTCCCATGGCTGCCATGTAATAAACCTTTTTCTTTCACCCTGTATGGACCTAATGAAACACTGAACTTTGGGGGAAGGGGGTGTCTAAAACCCTGGTTTCAAATACAGGTAGTGGCAACAACTAATGAATACTACCTACTTCAGAGTAAAATTGTCAAACACAACTATGAATACAAACAAGCCCTTAAGAAAAACTACTGATACAAAACTGATAGGGAAAACCATGAAACACATTGGTGATCAATAGTGTTGACCACCAATTCACAACAGTTTAAGAAGCCATCTAGGAATTTATGGACAGTGTTTAGGGGCCAAATACAAACCAGACTGAAATGGGTATTTTTATTGTTGCTTTCTTTTTTTTTTTAAGTGCAATATCTTACCACGCAGCACATCACTTGTTTTGTGATGGGCTATCAAATGTCAGTAGCAAAGTAAGTTCCCTTAAGTTAAACAAGAAAGAGTTGAGGAATGGAAGAGTGACAAGCCGTGGGCCAGCTCTGACCTGTGAAGCCTGCCAGTTCATTTTCACGCTGACTTGCAACTGCCCCTCCATGACAGCCCCTGGGCTCTGTGCAAGAAGCCAGCAAGTCCAAATGGAAAAACAGCCCCACAAAATGACCAACATGTCCCCAAGGAGGAAAAACAACAACAAATTCATTTACACTTATGGCCTAAAATGGATTTTAACTCGGGTCTCTAGTGAAGAAAAGAGGATGCATTAACCTTCAGTGACATCGAGATCTAGAAAATGAAAAATAATTTGGCAAACCACTGGCCCATCATGTAGCCTTATCCCTTAAGGTAATTAAATCCAGCTGAGATGGTTAAGCTTAAAAACCACCCACTGTACATTCATACTTGATTTGTTTGCAGGAATTTGCATGAAGATTTTTTTAACCCAAACAGCTTATGTTCCAAATAAAAAATTAAATGACAATGTCAACTGTCAAAACCAGCTAATTGAAATGTGTCTTAAATTCAAGTAAAATACTTAAGCCTGTACTGAGTGTTCAAAAATTAGTAAGTACCATAGAAAGGACCTACATGGTGTTTTAATGCATTGTTTTCAGCAACGGTTCTTTCTTTCACCAAACCACCATGCTCATTAAAATAACCCAAAATATAAGCACTTAGACAGACAGACAGACTAGATAGATAGAGAGAGAGAGAGAGATAGAGAGATAGAGAGATAGAGATAGACAGACAGACAGATAGATAGATACATTTTATATATATATATATATATATATATGTATGAGATCATGGATACTCAGATCTTTAAAGTTTGAAAATTTGCCTCAAAAGAGAATAGAAAATGTCTTCTTATATCTGTAAGAAAATACAGTACTTTGTTTTCTGGCTTTAACTTATTAAAAGTATATTTATAATCTAGAATTATGGAAGGTAGGCAAGGTCATTGTTTGCTCCTATCCTAACCTTACTAAGTGGTACATAAGCCAATTTAAAGAAAAATTGTTACCAAATCAACATTTGATCTCTAGAACATCAGTTTAAAAACCTGACATTTTTCATGTCTGGTTTTAAGTAACCAGTATGATAAAATGTACACATAAAATGTACATACTTTAGAGAGGCACTAATCAACAAACCAAGACTGATGGTTAACTTTATTGTACCATTGGATCTTGTTTCCCAGTATTTCCTAATTCTTTCCAAGTATTAAGATTTACTAGAAATCACTAAATGATCTTTATGTAAAAACATAACTAATCAAAGATTATTTCTAATATGGTTATTCTGCAAATTATTTCACTGGGCATATCAGTCAGCTTTCCAGCCCAGGGACAAAATACCTGATAAAAACAAGATATTTAGAAGGAGATACTAGCTAGGTTGCAGTAGCTCAAGCCAGTAATTTTGGAAGGGAGAGATCAAGGAATAAGGGCTCAAAGTCAGCCAGGGCATAAAAGTTGGCAAGACTCTGTCTCAATCAATAGCTGAGAATGGTATCATAAGCCTGTCATTCCAAGCTATTGGGGAAACACATGGCTGTGTGCAGTAACAGGAAGAAACACAAATCAGAGGCTTGCAATCCAGTCCTGTCTTCCCTACTGCACCAGAGACCAGCTACAAAGCCTTTAGATATCAGTGTTTGGGAGACATTCAAGATCTAGATCTTAACACTTGGGTTTTCTCAATTTAATAACAACAGATTACTTTTTGAATAACACATTGGTCAATTTCAAAGTATTTAGGAGATGCTGTTGGATTAAAACAGAGATCAACAAAAGGCTTCCAACAGGTCATTTGCTATTGAAAAAAAAAAAAAAAACTTCCAGGGATGGAGGACAAAAAGAGTGATGGAGGAGGTGAGATTGGTTGGAATATGTTATAAATGTGTGAAAATGTAACAATGAAATCCCCCTGTATAACTAATGTAAGGTAATAAAAAGTTATCAAAATTGGGTTCATAAGTATGACAGTCAATAACTGAATAATCTCACAAGTATTAAAATTATGAAACATAGCAGATGAAGGATCAAAGAGACTACATACAGTGTACAGTGAATTGGTCAGTGCTGTTTATGGAATCTATTCACTAAACAAACACCGTGCATTCAACAT